GGAAGAAGAATAATAATAACTAGGAGACTAATTGTTCAGAGAACAATTAGAGGCCTTTCCACCTTTTTAAGTGTTTCCGTGTCATTTGGGTTGAAACAAAGAAGAAAAATGCAAAAAATGCACAAAAAAAAAAAAAAAAAAAAAAAAAAAAAAAAAAAAAAAAAAATTGCTCCTCCAGCAGGGATCGAACCCAAAACCCTTGGATTGAAAGGCAGGTGCGCTAACCATTAGGCCATGCATTCCGATGAAGATGGAGGTAGTAAATATATTGTTTAGGAATAAATAGGAATCTAAAAGCACGTGGCGATTTGTTTGTTATGGAATGTAGTAATCAGTATTAGATAGTTTTGAGAAACACGATTGGTGTATAATACGAATGCAGATTTTCGGTTTAAAAAAATTATTTGAGTTGGTGTATAATTTGAATGCATTGAGTTAATCATTTAGAGCCTATGATGCATTAGTACTGCAGTGCCGTGACTTTGTTTACAAATATATGAAAATATCGGATCGGGTTCGGATATGACTGAATATCCTGAAATACTAGGTAAGATTGAAATAAGCATCTCTGTGTGGACTGAATTAAATGTAAGTAGCATAAATTAAAATCTCAGATATGCATTTTAGATAGAAAAAGGTGTCAATGAGAGCGTGAAAATTTATTTGCTCTGAAAAATCGCTGTTTTCGACATTCATTCGATTAATATTAATTCTAAATAAAATTGAAATAAATTCCACATACTAAATAAATCAAGAATGCTTGGTATTAAAATATCATATCATGTCAAGAGAATCGACTGCTATTCATAACAACTGAAGAAATAACCGATAAAAGCTTCAATTCATTTTTATGTTCATCGGCACCTAAATTTCAGATACGAGAAAAGATGTAGTGTTTGCCGTTAACATTCATAATTTCTATATACTTCAGAGATTCAGCGTAAAACTTTCAGGAAAGTTTCTTTCCGGTCTGTTCTGCAGTTCCCCCGAAATTTTATGTCGATCCAAGGTGTTGTACGAGTTTTTGAGAAATATTCTACGTTGCTATTGGTTTGATTTTTTTTTTTTTTTTTTTTTTTTTTTTTTCGAGAAGAGGAGTAATTTAATTACTGATTCTGACCTTTTGGTCAAAGGCCAAGGTCATCAAAGTTCAAGGTCAAAGGTCAAGGTCGAAGTTCAAGGTCAAGGTCATTTAGTTGATTGTTACATTTTTACATACATATAAGGAATTTCTTATGGTTTTAAATGACCTTGACCTTTGACCTTGACCTACATTTCAAGGTCAAAGGTCAAACATGCCCATGCAGTTGGTCCCATGTCTCTAGGATAGACCCTTTGAAAAAAAGCTCATTAAATGTAAGCAGCGAAAACTTTCAGGGACATTAACTCATACAAGGGGCCGAAGTATCCTTTCGCACTACATAGATTGAAGAGTGTACTAAATGAGTCGAAGACACTGATGAAGGTTTGGAATCTCTACGGTTTACGGTTTCGGAGGAGTAGCGATAACAAGGTTTTATTGCGAAAGGGGTGACAACTTTTGAATGGGTCAAGCTTGGGGGACAAGAATGAAATCCTTAAAATAGTTTTAGAAGGACATATTATAGATGCAAAGGTATTCAGTATATGTCAAAAGACAACAGAGATATTTAAAAAGCTAATTTTCTCATATTTTGAATGACCTTGACCTTTGACCTCTATATAAATTTCAAGGTCAAATGTCAAAGAATTTAATGCAGTTGGTCCCATGTCTTTACGACTTGTCGTTTTGAAAAATATTTCATTATCCGTAAACATCGAAAACTCTCAGGGGCGATAACTTAATAAAGGGCTCGACAAATCATTTCGCAATGAAAGATTGAAAAGTCCTCTCAAGTAGTCGAAAACATTGGTAACGGTTTCGTACCTCTGGGGTTTATGGTTTCGAAGGAGTAGCGATAACAAGGTTTTTCGTTCAAAGGGCAAGAACTCCGAAAGGGGTCGTAGGTCATACTCGTTGGGTAGTTTTTCGAAATAACTTTTGATGTCGAGTATCATGAACTATAAAGTTCTTCGAAAAGTCTTTCGGTTCAAAAGGCGGTAACGGAAAAATAATAATAATAATAATAACTAGTAAACTAATTGTTCAGAGAACAATTAGAGGTCTTTCCACCTTTTTAAGTGTTTCCGTGTCATTTGGGCTGAAAAAAATGAAGAAAAATGCAATTAAAAAAAAAAAAAACCTCCTCCAGCTGGGATCGAACTCAAAACCCTTGGTTTGAAAGGCAGGTGCGCTAACCATTAGGCCACGCACTCCGATGAAGATGTAGGTAGTAAATATATTGTTTAGGAATAAATAGGAATATAAGAGCACGTGTCCTTTTGTTTGTTGTCCAATGTAGTAATCAGTAATAAATAGTTTTGAGAAACACGATTGGTGTATAATAAAAAGCAGATTTTCTGTAAAAATAATTTATTTGAGTTGGTTTATACTTTGAATAAATGGAGTTAATCATCTAGAGCCTAGGATACATTAGAACTGCCGTGCCGAGACTTTGTTTACGAATTTATGAAAAATGTCGCGTTCGGTTTGACCGAATATGGCGATTCAAAATAATAGGTAAGATTAAATAAACATCTCTATGTGGGTTGAGTTAAATGTAACTAGCATAAATTAAAATTTCAGACATGCATTTCAGGAAGAAAAAAAAAGGTGTCAATGAGAGCGTGGAAATTTATTTGATAGGAAAATTCGCTATTTTCGAGATTCTTTCCATTAATATTAAATCTAAATAAAATTGAAATAAATTCCACATACTAAAGAAATCAAGAATGCTTGGTATTAAAATATTGTATTAGAGCAGGAGAATCGAATGCTATTAATAACAACTGAAAAAATAGCTGATAAAAGCTTAAATTCATTTTTACGCTCATCAGCACCTAAATTTCAGATTAAAAAAAATGTAGTATTTGCCGATAAAATTCATAATTTCGTTACACTTCAGAGACTCACCGTAAAACTTTCAGGAAAACTTTTTTCTTGAAGTCTTTTCTGCGGTTGCTTAAAATCTTATGTCGATCCGAGGTGTTGTATGAGTTTTAGAGACATTTTCTACGTTGCTATTGATTTTTTTGTTTTTAAAGGGGGAGGGGGGGTGAATTATTTATTTATTTATTCCTAACATATTTTAAAGAAAGAGTTGTAGCAAACTCCACGAACTTAATCTTGATTGTGACCTTTAGGTCAAAGGTCAAGGTGATTTTAAAAAAAAAAAACAACTTTGCTTTAAACTGAGTTCAACACTGAAATGTACATGAATCTAGATGCATGTTCTGATTTTTTTTTTACCTTTGAGTCAGTGTCAAGGTCAAAGGTTAAAGGTCAAATTTTCAAGGTCAAGGTCAAAGTTCAAGGTCATTTAGATAAATAGCTGATATCAATAATTTATATAGTTTTCAATGACCTTGACCTTTGACCTTGACCTTCATTTCAAGGTCAAAGGTCAAACATGCCCATGCAGTTGGTTCCATGTCTCTAGGATAGACCCTTTGAAAAACAGTTCATTAAATGTAAGCAGCGAAAACTTTCAGGGTCAGTAACTCATAGAAGGGGCCGAAGAACCCTTTCGCACTGTATAGATTGAAGAGTGTACTAAATGAGTCGAAGACACTGATGAAGGTTTGGAATCTCTACGCTTTACGGTTTCAGAGGAGTAGCGATAACAAGGTTTTATTGCGAAAGGGGTGACAACTTTTGAATGGGTCAAGCTTGGGGGACAAGAATGAAATCTTTAAAATAGTTTTAGAAGGACAAATTAAAGATGCAAAGATTTGTAGTATATGTTGAAAGACAAAAGAGCTATAAAAAGAGCTTATTTTCTTATATTTTGAATGACCTTGACCTTTGACCTTGACCTTAACTTCAAGGTATAAGGTCAAAGAATCTTATGTAGTTGGTCCTATTTCTTTACGACTTATCGTTAAGAAAATTTTTCATTATTCGTAAACACCAAAAAATCTCAGGGGCGATAACTTATTAAAGGGCTCGACAAATCCTTTCGCAATGAAAAGATTGAAAAGTCCTCTCAAGTAGTCAAAAACATTGGTGATGGTTTCGAACCTCTGCGGTTTATGATTTCGGAGGAGTAGCGATAACAAGGTTTTTCGTTCAAAGGGCAAGAACTCCGAAAGGGGTCAGAGGTCATACTCGTTGGGTAGTTTTTCGAAACAACTTTTGATGTCGAGTATCATGAACTATAAAGTTCTTCGAAAAGTCTTTCGGTTCAAAAGGCGGTAACGGAAAAATAATAATAATAATAATAAACATAAGCATTTCAATAGGTCTTTCCACAGAAAGGTGGAAAGACCTAATAAACATAAGCATTTCAATAGGTCTTTCCACAGAAAGGTGGAAAGACCTAACTAGTAGACTAATTGTTCTCGAACAATTAGAGGTCTTTCCACCTTCTTTGAATTTCCTATATTTTTCATATTTTACTCTCTAAAGTTAATTTTTATACAAAAAGAATCCATAAATGCCTTGAAAGATAGAAAAAATGAAAATTTCAAAGATTTTGAAATGACCTTGACCTTTGACCTTTTACAAATATTCAAGGTCAAAGGTCATGGGTCACATTGCACTTGACCCCATGCTTCTACGACTTTTAGTTTTAAAGTTATAAGGTTTAATAGTAAGTGCAAAGACGTTAAAGGGGGATAACTCATATAAGGGGTCATCGGATACTTTGGCACAGAATAGATTGAAGTTGTGTCTAAAGACCCTGAAGACATTAGTGAAGGTTTTGTGTCTCTACGGTTTACGGTTTCGGAGGAGTAGCGATAACAAGGTTTTCAGTAAAAGGGGCAATAACTTTTAAAGGGGTAAATCTTAGGGGACAAGTATGAAATCTTTGAAATAGTTTTAAGAGGACATATTAATGATGCAAAGATATTTAGTATACGTTGAAAGACAAAAGAGATATAAAAAGAGCTTTATTTCTCATATTTTGAATGACCTTGACCTTTGACCTTTGCATATATTTTAAGGTCAAAGGTCAATGAATCTTATGCAGTTGGTCCCATGTCTCTACGACTTATCGTTTTGAAAATTTTTAATTATTCGTAAACATCAAAAACTTTCAGGGGCAATAACTCATAAAAGGGGTTGACGAATACTTTCGCAATGAAAAGATTGAAGAGTCCCCTCAATTAGTCGAAGACATTGGTGAAGGTTTCATACCTCTACGGTTTACGGTTTCGGAGGAGTAGCGATAACAAGCTTTCTATCGAAAGGGGCAATAACTGCGAAAGCGGTCATAGGTTATACGCGTTGGGTCAAATTTGTTCATAACTTTTTAAGACCTTTACGGTCAATGAATAATCTTTTCGATAAACATCGAAACAAAAAATCAGCGGAAGAAGAATAATAATAACTAGGAGACTAATTGTTCAGAGAACAATTAGAGGCCTTTCCACCTTTTTAAGTGTTTCCGTGTCATTTGGGTTGAAACAAAGAAGAAAAATGCAAAAAAAAAAAAAAAAAAAAAAAAAAAAAAAAAAAAAAAAAAAAAAAATTGCTCCTCCAGCAGGGATCGAACCCAAAACCCTTGGATTGAAAGGCAGGTGCGCTAACCATTAGGCCATGCATTCCGATGAAGATGTAGGTAGTAAATATATTGTTTAGGAATAAATAGGAATCTAAAAGCACGTGGCGATTTGTTTGTTATGGAATGTAGTAATCAGTATTAGATAGTTTTGAGAAACACGATTGGTGTATAATACGAATGCAGATTTTCGGTTTAAAAAAATTATTTGAGTTGGTGTATAATTTGAATGCATTGAGTTAATCATTTAGAGCCTATGATGCATTAGTACTGCAGTGCCGTGACTTTGTTTACAAATATATGAAAATATCGGATCGGGTTCGGATATGACTGAATATCCTGAAATACTAGGTAAGATTGAAATAAGCATCTCTGTGTGGACTGAATTAAATGTAAGTAGCATAAATTAAAATCTCAGATATGCATTTTAGATAGAAAAAGGTGTCAATGAGAGCGTGAAAATTTATTTGCTCTGAAAAATCGCTGTTTTCGACATTCATTCGATTAATATTAATTCTAAATAAAATTGAAATAAATTCCACATACTAAATAAATCAAGAATGCTTGGTATTAAAATATCATATCATATCAAGAGAATCGACTGCTATTCATAACAACTGAAGAAATAACCGATAAAAGCTTCAATTCATTTTTATGTTCATCGGCACCTAAATTTCAGATACGAGAAAAAATGTAGTGTTTGCCGTTAACATTCATAATTTCTATATACTTCAGAGATTCAGCGTAAAACTTTCAGGAAAGTTTCTTTCAGGTCTGTTCTGCAGTTCCCCAGAAATTTTATGTCGATCCAAGGTGTTGTACGAGTTTTTGAGAAATATTCTACGTTGCTATTGGTTTGATTTTTTTTTTTTTTTTTTTTTTTTGAGAAGAGGAGTAATTTAATTATTGATTCTGACCTTTTGGTCAAAGGCCAAGGTCATCAAAGTTCAAGGTCAAGGTCAAAGTTCAAGGTCAAGGTCATTTAGTTGATTGTTACATTTTTACATACATATAAGGAATTTCTTATGGTTTTAAATGACCTTGACCTTTGACCTTGACCTACATTTCAAGGTCAAAGGTCAAACATGCCCATGCAGTTGGTCCCATGTCTCTAGGATAGACCCTTTGAAAAAAAGCTCATTAAATGTAAGCAGCGAAAACTTTCAGGGACATTAACTCATACAAGGGGCCGAAGTATCCTTTCGCACTACATAGATTGAAGAGTGTACTAAATGAGTCGAAGACACTGATGAAGGTTTGGAATCTCTACGGTTTACGGTTTCGGAGGAGTAGCGATAACAAGGTTTTATTGCGAAAGGGGTGACAACTTTTGAATGGGTCAAGCTTGGGGGACAAGAATGAAATCCTTAAAATAGTTTTAGAAGGACATATTATAGATGCAAAGGTATTCAGAATATGTCGAAAGACAAAAGAGATATTTAAAAAGCTAATTTTCTCATATTTTGAATGACCTTGACCTTTGACCTCTATATAAATTTCAAGGTCAAATGTCAAAGAATTTAATGCAGTTGGTCCCATGTCTTTACGACTTGTCGTTTTGAAAAATATTTCATTATTCGTAAACATCAAAAACTCTCAGGGGCGATAACTTAATAAAGGGCTCGACAAATCATTTCGCAATGAAAGATTGAAAAGTCCTCTCAAGTAGTCGAAAACATTGGTAACGGTTTCGTACCTCTGGGGTTTATGGTTTGGAAGGAGTAGCGATAACAAGGTTTTTCGTTCAAAGGGCAAGAACTCCGAAAGGGGTCATAGGTCATACTCGTTGGGTAGTTTTTCGAAATAACTTTTGATGTCGAGTATCATGAATTATAAAGTTTTTCGATAAGTCTTTCGGTTCAAAAGTCCGTAACGGAAAAATAATAATAATAATAAACATAAGCATTTCAAGAGGTCTTTCCACAGAAAGGTGGAAAGACCTAACTAGTAGACTAATTGTTCTCGAACAATTAGAGGTCTTTCCACCTTCTTTAAATTTCATATATATTTCTTTTTTTTTACTCTCTGGAGTTAATTTTTATACAAAAAGAATCCATAAATGGCTTGAAAGATAGAAAAAAAAATGAAATTTTTTAAAAATTTTGATTGACCTTGACCTTTGACCTTGAACAAATATTCAAGGTCAACAATCAATGGTCACATTGCACTTGACCCTATGCTTCTACAACCTTAAGTTTTAAAGTTAGAAGGTTTAACAGTAAGCGCAAAGACGTTAATAGGCGATAACTCATATAAGGGGTCACCGGATACTTTTGCACTGAATAGTTTGAAGTTGTGTCTAAAGACCCTGAATACATCAGTGAAGGTTTCGTGTCTCTGCAGTTTACGGTTTCAGAGGAGTAGCGATAACAAGGTTTTTCACACAAGGGGCAATAACTATTAAAAGGGTTAAGCTTAGGGGACAAGATTGAAATCTTTGAAATAGTTTTAAAAGTACATATTGAAGATGTTAAGATGTACTGTATATGTTGAAAGACAAAAGAGCTATAAAAAGAGCTTTATTTCTCATATTTGGAATGACCTTGACCTTTGACCTTGACATAAATTTCAAGGTCCAAGGTCAAAGATTCTAATGCAGTTAGTTTCATGTCTCTACGGCTTATCGTTTTGAAATTTTTTCATTTTTTGTAAACTTCAAAAACTTTCAGGGGCAATAACTCAGTAATGGGGTTGACGAATACTTTTTCAGTGAATAGATTGGAGAGAGTACTCAGTTGAAGACATTGGTGAAGGTTTCCTACCTCTACGGTTTAAGGTTTCGGAGGAGTAGCGATAACAAGGTTTCTAGCGAAAGGGGCAATAACTGTGAAAGGGGTCATAGGTTATATGCGTTGGGTCAAATTTGTTCATAACTTTTTATGACTTTTACGATGAACAAAAAATCTTTTCGATAAACCTTGAAACAAAAAATCAGCGGAAGAAAAATAAAAATAATAATAATAATAAACAGAACAATTTCAATAGGTCTTTCCACAGAAAGGTGGAAAGACCTAATAACTAGATGCGATCTCGTTGCGAGCAACGAGTGGGTCTTCCGTCCGATTTTTGATAAGATGAGATACGAATTTGACTGAGATTTTCGTTCATAAATATATAAATAGTGAAAATGTACAATTTTCTTCGGTTATGTTTAACAAAATTTTGATCATTATGGCACCAAAAAACGCAATATTTGAAGATTTTAAAATATTTATAGTAGCAGATCGTGAAGATGAATATTACTGTAAAAGGGTTATAGATGAAAGACTTTTAGCCCCTTTGAGCCCCTAATTCGAGGGGTTTTGATATCACATGAAAGGTCTTGTAATTCTGAAGACTTTTCGTTCAACAACTATTCAGTTTTCGAGATATGCAGACTTGAAATATTTAGGGGCCGTCCCTTTAAGTCCTTATAGGGGCTGTTTAGGAAAAATTCAAAGGATGCACATTGTTCAAATCATCATTCTAAACAACTTTTGTTCAATATTGCTTTTCAAAATGTTTCCCCTTTTCGAGATATAGAGCTTCAAAGATAAAGCATTCTGGCCCCTTATGGCCCCTAATTACGTAATATTTGAAGAAAATTTTAAGATATATAGTTGCAGATTGTGAAGATGAACATTTTTGCTTCAATATTTAATATCAAAATATTTAACGTTAAGGGGTTATAGATGAAAGACTTTTGGCCCCTCTGAGCCCCTAATTTGAGGGGTCAGCCCCTTTTTCTTGATATCACTTGAAAGGTCTTGTAATTTTGAAGACTTTTTGTTCAATGACTATTCAGAAGTTTCGTTTCATTTTCGAGATATGAAGACTTGAAATATTAGGGGCCGTCCCTTTAAGTCCTTATAGGGGCTGTTTAGGAAAAATTCAAAGGATGCACATTGTTCAAATCATCATTCTAAACAACTTTTGTTCAATATTGCTTTTCAAAATGTTTCCCCTTTTCGAGATATAAAGCTTCAAAGATAAAGCATTCTGGCCCCTTGTGGCCCCTAATTATGTGCCATACGATGTAAAAATCATAATATATAGTTGTAAATTGTTAAGATAAATATTTTTGCTTCAGTAATGTATACCAAAAAAATGCTTGTTTAAGAGTTATAGATGAAAGACTTTTGGCCCCTATCGGACCCTAATATGATGAGTCAGCGCTTTTTTCTTGATATCATGTTACAGATCTTGTCATTTTGCACAAATTTTGTTCAATATGTTTTAACAAAATAATTATACTTTAAAAGATATGACACAAAATGTCTCAAAAATTCACTCATGATTCGTGTCCTAAATTTTGACCCCTACCGAGCTTCCATACTAGACACTTCCGGAAAATATCTAAACCCAGGTGCATAATGGCAACATGTCCTCCATCATCACTGAAAATTTCAGCGTTCTAGCTTAAGCCGTTTTTGAGTTCCATCACAGACAAGGAGGTCCTCTGAATTTTATTAAAAGGGCGATAACTTTCGACCGGAAGTGATTGTCAAAAAAATATTTAGCCGGAATTAACTTCAGATAACCTAGCACCAACCCTGAAAATTTGATGCAAATCCATCGACCCATCTCTGAGAAATCGTCTGCACAAAATTTGTGCAGAAAAAAAGAATAATAATAAGAAAATTGAAAAAGAAACATAAGAATAATAGAAGGGTCTTCCGCTGAAGACGGAAGACCCTAATAATAATAATAATAAACAGAAGAAAATCAATAGGTCTTTCCACAGAAAGGTGGAAAGACCTAAACTAGTAGACTAATTGTTCTCAAACAATTAGAGGTCTTTCCACCTTCTTTAAATTTCATATATTTTTCATATTTTACTCTCTAAAGTTAATTTTTATACAAAAAGAATCCACAAATGGCTTGAAAGATAGAAAAAAATGAAAATTTTCAAAATTTTGAAATGACCTTGACCTTTGACCTTTACCACATATTGAAGGTCAAAGGACAAGGGTCACATTGCACTTAACCCCATACTTCTACGACTTTTAGTTTTTAAGTTATAAGGTTTAATAGAAAGAGCAAAGACGTTAAAGGGCGATAACTCATATAAGGGGTCATCGGACACTTTCGCACTGAATAGATTGAAGTTGTGTCTAAAGACCCTGAAGACATTAGTGAAGGTTTTGTGTCTCTACCATTTACGGTTTCTGAGGAGTAGCGATAACAAGGTTTTCAGTAAAAGGGGCAATAACTTTTTAAAGGGGTAAATCTTTGGGGACAAGTATGAAATCTTTGAAATAGTTTTAAGAGGACATATTAATGATGCAAAGATATTTAGTACATGTTGAAAGACAAAAGAGCTATAAAAAGAGCTTAATTTCTCATATTTTGAATGACCTTGACCTTTGACCTTTGCACATATTTTAAGGTCAAAGGCCATTGAATCTTATGCAGTTGGTCCCATGTTTCTACGACTTATCGTTTTGAAAATTTTTAATTATTCGTAAACATCAAAAACTTTCAGGGGCAATAACTCATAAAAGGAGTTGACGAATACTTTCGCAATGAAAAGATTGAAGAGTCTACTCAATTAGTCGAAGACATTAGTGAAGGTATCGTATCTCTACGGTTTAAGGTTTCGAAGAAGTAGCGATAACAAGCTTTTATTGTGAAAGGGGTAATAACTCTTTGAGGGGTCAAAGTTCATTTACGCAGGGTCAAATGCAAAAATCTTTTATGGAGTACATTCTAATGGACTATAAATCTTTTCGAAAGATCTTGAAACAAGAAAGTGTCCGGCGGAAAAATAATAAAAATAACTAGTAGACTAATTGTTCTCGAACAATTAGAGGTCTTTCCACCTTCTTTAAATTTCATATATTTTTCATATTTTACTCTCTGAAGTTAATTTTTATACAAAAAGAATCCATAAATGGCTTGAAAGATGGAAAAAATGAAATATTTTAAAATTTTAAAATGACCTTGACCTTTGACCTTGAACAAATATTCAAGGCCAAAAGTCAAGGGTCACATTGCACTTGACCCCATGCTTCTATGACTTTTAGTTTTAAAGTTATAAGGTTTAATAGTAAGCGCAAAGACGTTAAAGGGCGATAACTCATATAAGGGATCATCGGATACTTTCGCACTGAATAGATTGAAGTTGTGTCTTAAGTCCCTGAAGCCATTAGTGAAGGTTTTGTGTCTCTACGGTTTACAGTTTCAGAGGAGTTCGATAACAAGGTTTTCAGTGAAAGGGGCAATAACTTTTAAAGGGGTAAATCTTAGGGGACAAGTATGAAAACTTTGAAATAGTTTTAAGGGTACATATTAAAGATGCAAAGATATTTAGTACATGTTGAAAGACATAAGAGATATAAAAAGAGCTTAATTCCTCATATTTTGAATGACCTTGACCTTTGACCTTGACATAAACTTCAACGTCTGAGGTCAAAGAATCTAATTCAGTTGGTTTCATGTCTCTACGACTTATTGTTTTGAAATTTTTTTATTATTTGTAAACTTCAAAAACTTTCAGGGGCAATAACTCATAAAAGGGGTCAATGAATAATTTCGCAATGAAAAGATTGAAGAGTCCCCTCAATTAGTCGAAGACATTGGTGAAGGTTACGTACCTCTACGGTTTATGGTTTCGAAGGAGTAGCTTTTATTGCGCAAGGGTTCATAACTCTTTGAGGGGTCAAAGTTCATATATGCAGGGTCAATTGCAAAAATCTTTTACGGAGTACATTCTTATGAACTATAATTCTTTTCGATAGATCTTGAAACTCAAAATCACACGGCGGAAAAATAATAAAAAATAACTAGTAGACTAATTGTTCTCGAACAATTAGAGGTCTTTCCACCTTCTTTAAATTTCATATATTTTTCATATTTTACTCTCTAAACTTAATTTTTATACAAAAAGAATTCATAAATGGCTTGAGAGATGGAAAAAATGAAAATTTTAAAAATTTTGAAATGACCTTGACCTTTGACCCTGAACAAATATTCAAGGTCAAAGGTCAAGGGTCACATTGCACTTGACCCCATGCTTCTACGACTTTTACTTTTAAAGTTATAAGGTTTAATAGTTATCACAAAGACTTTAAGGGGTGATAACTCATATAAGGGGTCATCGGATACTTTCGCTCTGAATAGATTGAAGTTGTGTCTAAAGACCCTGAAGACATTAGTGAAGGTTTTGTGTCTCTACGGTTTACGGTTTCGGAGGAGTAGCGATAACAAGGTTTTCAGTAAAAGGGGCAATAACTTTTAAAGGGGTAAATCTTAGGGAACAAGTATGAAATCTTTGAAATAGCTTTAAGAGGACATATTAATGATGCAAAGATATTAAGTATATGTTGAAAGAAAAAAGAGATATAAAAAGAGCTTAATTTCTCATATTTTGAATGACCTTGACCTTTGCCCTTTGCACATATTTTAAGGTCATAGGTCAATGAATCTTATGCAGTTGGTCCCATGTCTCTATGACTTATTGTTTTAAAAATTTTAAATTATTTCTAAAAATCAAAAACTTGGAGGGGCAATAACTCCTTGAAGGGGTCGAGGAATAATTTCGCAATGAATAGATTGAAGAGTCCCCTAAATTAGTCAAGGACATTGGTGAAGGTTTCGTATCTATACGGTTTACGGTTTCAAAGGAGTAGCGATAACAAGCTTTTATTGCAAAAGGGGATGTAACTCCTCAAGGGGTCAAAGTTCATATACGCAGGGTCAACTGCAAAAATCTTTTACGGAGTACATTCTCATGAACTATAAATCTTTTCGATAAATCTTGAAACTCAGCGGAAAAATAAGAAGAAGAATAACTAGTAGACTAATTGTTCTCGAACAATTAGAGGTCTTTCCACCTTCTTTAAATTTCATATATTCTTCACATTTAACTCTCTACTGTTTAATTTTTTACAAAAGAAACCAGAAATGGCTTGAGAGATGGAAAAAATGAAAATTTTAAAAATTTTGAAATGACCTTGACCTTTGACTTTGAACAAATATTCAAGGTCAAATGTCAAGGGTCACATTGCAATTAACCCCATGCTTCTACAACTTTTAGTTTTAAAGTTATAAGGTTTAATAGTAAGCGCAAAGACATTGAAGGGCGATAACTCATATAAGGGGTCATTGGATACTTTCGCACTGAATAGATTAAAGTTGTGTCTAAAGACCCTGAAGACATTAGTGAAGGTTTTGTGCCACTATGGTTTACGGTTTCGGAGGAGTAGCGATAACAAGGTTTTCAGTGAAAGGGGCAATAACTTTTAAAGGGGTAAATCTTAGGGGACAAGTATGAAATATTTGAAATAGTTTTAAGAGGACATATTAATGATGCAAAGATACTTAGTATACATTGAAAGACAAAAGAGATATAAAAAGAGCTTTATTTCTCATATTTTGAATGACCTTGACCTTTGACCTTTGCATATATTTTAAGGTCAAAGGTCAATGAATCTTATGCAGTTGGTCCCATGTCTCTACAACTTATCCTTTTGAAAATTTTTAATTATTCATAAACATCAAAAACTTTCAGGGGCAATAACTCATAAAAGGGGTTGACGGATACTTTCGCAATGAAAAGATTGAAGAGTCCCCTCAATTAGTCGAAGACATTGGTGAAGGTTTTGTACCTCTACGGTTTACGGTTTCAAAGGAGTAGTGATAACAAGGTTTTTCGTACAAGGGGAAAGAACTCCGAAAGGGGTCATAGGTCATACCTGTTGGGTAGTTTTTCGAAATAACTTTTGATGTCGAGTATCATGAATAATAAAGTTTTTCGATAAGTCTTTCGGTTCAAAAGGCCGTAGCGGAAAAATAATAATAATAACTAGTAGACTAATTGTTCTCGAACAATTAGAGGTCTTTCCACCTTCTTTGAATTTCATATATTTTTCATATTTTACTCTCTAAAGTTAATTTTTATACAATAAGAATCCACAAATGGCTCCAAAGATAGAAAAAATGAAAATTTTAAAAATTTTGAAATGACCTTGACCTTTGACCTTGGAGAATATTCAAGGTCAAAGGTCAGGGGTCACATTCCACTTGACCCCATGCTTCTACGACTTTTAGTTTTAAAGTTATAAGGTTTAATAGTAAGCACAAAGACATTAAAGGGCGATAACTCATATAAGGGGTCATCGGATACTTTTGCACTGAATAGATTGAAGTTGTGTCTAAAGACCCTGAAGCCATTAGTGAAGGTTTTGTGTCTCTACGGTTTACGGTTTGAGAGGAGTAGTGATAACAAGGTTTTCAGTAAAAGGGGCAATAACTTTTAAAGGGGTCAAGCTTAGGGGACAAGTATTAATTCTTTGAAATAGTTTTAAGAGGACATATCAATGATGCAAAGATATTTAGGATATGTTGAAAGACAAAAGAGATATAAAAAAAAGCTTAATTTCTCATATTTTTAATGACCTTGACCTTTGACCTTTGCATATATTTTAAGGTCAAAGGTCAATGAATCTTATGCAGTTGGTCCCATGTTTCTACGACTTATCGTTTTGAAAATTTTTAATTATTCCTAAGTTTCATAAACTTTCAGGGGCAATAACTCATAAAAGGGGTCGACGAATACTTTCGCAATGAAAAGATTGAAGAGTCCCCTCAATTAGTTGAAGACATTGGTGAAGGTTCTGTATCTCTACGGTTTACGGTTTCGAAGAAGTAGCGATAACAGGCCATTCTTGCAAAAGGGGCAATAACTTCGTAAGAGGTCATGGGTCAAACACGGGGGGTCGTTTTTCGAAATAACTTTTAATGTCCAGTATCATGAACTATAAAGTTTTTCGATAAGTCTTTGGGGTTTCAAAAGTCCGGGAAGAAAAATAATAATAACTAGTAGACTAATTGTTCTCGAACAATTAGAGGTCTTTCCACCTTCTTTAAATTTCATATATTCTTCACATCTAACTCTCTACTGCTTATTTTTATACAAAAGAAACCAGAAATGGCTTGAGAGATGGAAAAAATGAAAATTTTAAAAATATTGAAATGACCTTGACCTTTGACCTTGAACAAATATTCAAGGTCAAAGATCAAGGGTCACATTGCAATTAACCCCATGCTTCTACGACTTTAAGTTTTAAAGTTATAAGGTTTACTAGTAAGCGCAAAGACGTTAAAGGGCGATAACTCATATAAGGGGTCACCGGATACTTTCGCACTGATAGATTAAAGTTGTGCCTAAAGACCCTGAATACATTAGAGAAGGTTTTGTGTCTCTGCGGTTTACGGTTTCGGAGGAGTAGCGATAACAAGGTTTTTCGCACAAGGGGCAATAACTTTTAAAAGGGTTAAGCTAAGGGGACAAGATTGAAATCTTTGAAATAGTTTTAAAAGTACATATAAAAGATGCAAAGATATACTGTATATGTTGAAAGACAAAAAAGCTCTAAAAAGAGCTTAATTTCTCATATTTGGAGTGACCTTGACCTTTGACCTTGACATAATCTTCAAGGTCTAGGGTTAAAGAATCTAATGCAGTTGGTTTCATGTCTCTACGACTTATCGTTTTGAAAATTTTTTCATTATTTGTAAACTTCAAAAACTTTCAGGGGTAGTAACTCATAAAAGGGCTCAACGAATCCTTTCGTAATGAATAGATTGAAGAGTCTTCTCAATTAGTCGAAGACATTGGTGAAGGTTTCGTAACTCTACGGTTTATGGTTTCGGAGGAGTAGCGATAACAAGGTTTCTAGTGAAAGGGGCAATAACTGCAAAAGGGGTCATAGGTTATACGCGTTGGGTCAAATTTGTTCATAACTTTTTATGACCTTTACGATGAACAAAAAGTCTTTTCGATAAATGTCGAAACAAAAAATCAGCGGAAGAAAAATAATAATAACTAGTAGACTAATTGTTCTCGAACAATTAGAGGTCTTTCCACCTTCTTTAAATTTCATATATTTTTCATATTTTACTCTCTAAAGTTAATTTCTATACAAAAAGAATCCATAAATGGCTTGAAAGATAGAAAAAATGAAAATTTTCAAAATTTTGAAATGACCTTGACCTTTGACCTTAAACAAATATTAAAGGTCAAAGGTCAAGGGTCACATTGCACTTGACCCCATGCTTCTACGACTTTTAGTTTTAAAGTTATAAGGATTAATAATAAGCGCAAAGATGTTAAAGGGCGATAACTCATATAAGGGGTCATCGGATACTTTTGCACCGAATAGATTGAAGTTGTATCTATAGATCCTGAAGACATTAGTGAAGGTTTTGTGCCTCTGCAGTTTACGGTTTTGGAGGAGTAGCGATAACAAGGTTTTCAGTAAAAGGGGCAATAACTTTTAAAGGAGTAAATCTTAGGGGACAAGTATGAAATCTTTGAAATAGTTTTAAGAGGACATATTAATGATGCAAAGATGTTTAGTATATGTTGAAAGATAAAAGAGATATAAAAACAGCTTAATTTCTCATATTTTGAATGACCTTGACCTTTGACCTTTGCATATATTTTAAGGTCAAAGGTCAATGAATCTTATGCAGTTTGTTCCATGTCTCTACGACTTATCGTTTTGAAAATTTTTCATTATACGTAAACTTCATAAACTTTCAGGGGCAATAACTCATTGAAGGGATCGACAAATCATTTCGCAATGAATAGATTGAAAGGTCCTCTCAAGTAGTCAAAGACATTGGTGAAGGTTCTGTATCTCTACGGTTTACGGTTTCGAAGGAGTAGCGATAACAAGCTGTTCTTGCGAAAGGGGCAATAACTTTGTAAGAGGTCATAGGTCAAACACGGGGGGTCGTTTTTCGGAATAACTTTTAATATCCAGTGTCATGAACTGTA